GTCACTCCCGGGCGGGCGGCAGGTGCCTGAGCTCTGGGTTCCCACACTGGGAAGCCCTGGGAGCGCCCCCGTGGGGCCGCATCTGAGACTGGGGCGCCTGCCAGGCCCTGGTGCCCTCGGCGCCTGTGCCCATGGTGACCTGCTGGTCAGGCCGGGCCGCAAATGGCCCCTGAGGATGGAGCCCCACCCACGAGGAGAGGGAGGAGGTCCTGGGGACCCCCAGGAGCAGCTGGAGGGGAAGGGAGAGGCTGGGCGGCCCAGGCTCAGGGCTCAGCCTGGCACCCAGGGCTTCCCGGCGCCCCACCCCCTCCTGTGAGCCCCCACTTCCATCTTCGGAGCCTCTAAGTGTCCCCCACTGGTGGGTGAGGAGAACAGGGGAAGGGCAGGACCTGGCAGACCCTCTCCGGCCCCCTCTGCCTCGTTCCTGGGAGCGGCGCTCTCAGTCCCCGGTGCGGGGGACACCCGGGCCCACCCCTGAGTGCCCGGAGCCCACACGGCCAGGAGAGTTCCAGAGCGCTTGTCCACATGGGGTCCTCCTGGCAGGGAATGCAATTAGCTTCCTCCCCTGAAGCCCGCAGCCACGTGGACATGATGAGGGGAGAGGCGGGAGGGGAAGGCCCCGTGGGGGGGACCAGAGACCCCAGGGCCTGTGGGGAGTGGGGGCCGTCCCAGCCTTCAGGCCCCGCACCAGCCCCTGGCGCCGCCCTCGGGGTCCAGGCGGGTGGGCGCCTGGCTGGTCGTGTCCTCTCGCCAGCTTCCTCACTGCCAAACACACTTCCCCGGGGCGACCCTGCGGGGCGGGTCCTCGAGCACCAGGCCCCCCGAGGGCTCCCGACTCGGCTTCCCCATCTGCGTTTCTCCCCCGAGACGGCGTGGGCTGCTCAGGGTGACCCACTCCGTGGCTATTAAAAAGTGCTCAGGTCTCCCGCCCGGTCCCTGATTTCTCCTGGGCCTGGCCTAAGCGACCCCACCTGCAGCCATCCGAGCCGCACGTCTGGGGGTGCGCGGGTCCTCGGGGGCGCGTCCGCCGCTGTCCTGAGGGTGCGTTCTTGCTCCGGGCTCCCGTATGTGCTGGCTCGGCCCCGGGGCGGGGGGGCACAGCGGTGGGGGGCATTGGCGAAAGTGCACCCCTTGTGTCCCCAGCTCCTGTACATGTGTGGGGGCCTCCTGGAGCGCCCGCTGATCCTGGCCGAGGTGGTGCCCCGCTACACGGTCATGCTAGAGCTGTTTGACGCCCAGCTGGACAAAGTCAAGGTCCTATATGACGCCCAGGTGGCGGCCACCGCGGAGGGCCACAGCCCCCCCATCCACAGAAACATGTCCCCCGTGGCCGGACAGCTCAAGTGGAGCCTGGAGCTGCAGGAGAGGCTGGAGGCGCCCCTGAGGGACCTGAAGCGCATCGACCACCCGTGAGTGGGGCGTGGGGCCCGGGGTCACCCCACTCGCAGACAGCCCGCTCCCCTGGCCGGGCCTCTACCCCCAGGCACCATTCCCAGACAACCGGCAGGGCCCCCGCGGCCCAGTGCCCGCCGCCTGCCTGGTCAGGAGGAGCCTGGCTGGCCTCCCCATGCCGGCCAGCCGGCAGGGACGAAGGGCCCCGAGATCCAGAGCCCCAGCGGGGTCCAGCCGCCACGGCCGGGCAGCACACTCGAAGGCGGGCTGGGGGCCGAACGCTCCGGGCGGGGACCCGGGAGGGCTCGGCCACACCGGTCCCGGCGTGGCGCTGCCCCTGGCTGTCCGTCCCTGGGCGGGGACGCGGAGGGCCCGCCGCCACTCTGCACCCCGAGACCGGGCGCCAGGCGAGGGCGTCAAAGAGCCGCCCCGTCTCTGTGGGCGGCAGGGTCATGTCCAGCGCGGAGGCCACGCTGGTCTACCAGAAGCACGAGGAGATGATGGCGCTGCTGCGGGACTACCGCGAAGACATCTACCGGCGCTGGGCGGCGCGCGTGGACCGGGACTGCCAGTTCAACCTGGGGCAGCCCCTGATCCAGCGGGACCCCGGCACCGGCCTCATCCGCGTCAACTTCAGCAGAGAGGTGGGGGCGAGGCCCGGGGCGGCGGGGCGGGC